ACAGTGTCTGCAGTGACCTTAGAGAAAGGATGATGAACTCTGAGTAGAGCCCATCCTGATAAAGCCAGCTGAGAGGTTTCCAGGGTGCCTCCTGGATGAGGTGCCTGGAGGTACTGAAGTGATTATGTCTTCTGGCTAGCCTGGGAAGGCTTCAGTATTTGCCCTGAGAGTTAGAGGGAGCAGCCAGGGACAGGGAGGTCTGGGCATCTCTGCTCAGACTGCTGCCCTGTGACCTGGATGCTGATAAGCTGCAGGGTGGGTGGAAGGTTAAATTAAGTTGATTTTGGTGGAAAAACCCAAACTTGTGAAAGGTGAAAATTGCTATCCCTTTATGAAGACAAAGAGGTTGTTTCTTTAAAATTTGGTGGAAAACGAGAAAATGGTTTAAATATATTTTCGACAGTAAACACAGATATGCACGTAGATTTGGGGATATCTGGACTGTTTTAACACAAAGAGGATCAGCACAGGCGGTCTACAGTTTATTTAGGAAGCCCACAGTCCAATTAAAATGAATTGTCAAAACTGAAGCTATAGATGGAGATAATATTTCAAATGGTTTGCAACTTTAATCACTTTAGGCCAAATTTCTTTAGTTTCTTATCCTCCCCCAATATTTCCCTATATGCAAATATTAACAATACAGCTGTTAAGATTTGACTCAGTGTGTAAAGTGCCCTGTTGGTTACACCTGGTGACATCTTTCACGTGTCATGGTGTATTTTAGTCAAAGTTATATTACTGGTCTCTGAAAAGTGTCTGAAATTGAAACATCACAAATGAGGAAATCTGGAATGACAGTTGGGAGGGCAGAAGGATCCCTGTGCATATCAAAGAGGTTCATTCTGACTAGAAAAAACGAACCGCTGAGTTCTCCAACATCATTCACTCTGGTTATTAAATGTTAAAACAGCCAGTTTCGTTTTACTGTTCTACAGTTTCACGTAGTACGAACATGACTGTGAATGGCTTTAATTATGATTCTGACCAGAAATGCTGTGACACAGATTTCCAGTTAGATTACAGACGTGAGAGTAACTGATTAAACGTTTAAACAGCTCGCTGTGACTACGTGCAAACTGTGATTCATAATCTTTTTAAATTATTTAATTTTTGCTTTTCATAATTATCACACAGATTTGTTTTAATACCACAAAGCACAAAAACGGTCTTTGATCGTTGTTGTTATTTTGTATATGCCCAGCCGTTGAGCTTTATTTGATTTATTCCCTTTGAACTGAATTGTCTGTCTTTAAATTCTAATTGCACAAAACAACATTTGAGCTACTGAATAAATAAACTGTGATCCGTGTGTGTGGGGGGGTGGGGGGGTGGTAATGTGATAATTGTAACATATTACAATATGTATATGTGTATATATATATATATACACATATACATGCATACATCCCTCAAAATTAAAACAACTATTTCAATCACTTGCGTGTTAGCTCTCCAGGTCAGGACCACATTGTTGTTTTATGTATCTGAAAAAGCTGCGCGCACACACACACACACACACACACACACTCACACACACACACACACAGCAGGCCAAGTGTGTTTGTCTAATTGTGTGAGATCTCAAGAGACGGCCTGAGCCTTTCCCATTTTCTCTGCTCTTGTGCCTGTGAGCTTGTGGTTGGCTGCTGGGGAAAGATACTGCTGATGTGCCCTTGGGCCTGGTTAGCAAAGACACTCTGTGTGTTTCGCGTCGAATTGGAGATAAAAGGCCAAAGGAGGAAGAAGAGGATTTAAAGCTGTCACAGAGAAGCTGCTGAGGACTAGACTGTGGCAAACATGCTGAATGCCAATGTGGGGATGTATGTCACTCTGTCACATGACTGTGTTCAGCCATTCGTGCAGGCTGCAGTGAATCTATAGAAACAACATCGCTTTTGCCAACCCGCTGATCCTGTTAAGGTGAAGTGCTGCCTATTTATCATCCATTATGGCAGGTTAAACCATACGAGTGCATTACACTGGCAACACAGTGAAACCTGCTCGTGGTTTAAACAGTTTCATGTTCTGAGGCTCAGTACTCGGGGAATGTGGGACACACAGGAATTAGATGAGAGCAGGATGAGTCTCACTGACAGTGGAAAAATCTATTATTTCAAAAAATGTACAATAAAAATAATCTCTGTCATTTATTAATTAAAGTTAAAATGCTTTTATTTTCATGGCATTGTTTAACCCTTCCCCAAAAGCAACTGGAGTCAAATGAAACAGATTTCATTTGCTGTGCAACAGCAAACCTCACTCTGAGGCCAAACTGACCATTCAGCTGGTGGAGTTGTGTCAAGCTTCAAACTTGGATGAGGTCGAGGAGTCTCAAAACATATAGACATCAGTCCAGATGTCCAGCATTTTATTGAAATTTAAATGTATGTTAGCCTTTAACTTTTTGAACTCCTGCATCTCTGCAGTTTATATTCAAATGTAAGTACTTCAAACCCAATAAATAACCTTGAATGGTCAAAAGGGTAAGCAGCAAACTAACAAAGTGAAAAAAGTCACTAAATATGAAGTGAAATGTGAACCATGTCACGTTTTACAGAAAGCAGCCTCGGTGCTCTTTAACTAAAAAACCACAAGATCCTGTGATCTGCAAGCTTCAGCGTCATCTCCTTGTGCACCGCTGCATCGCTCTGGCATTGCTCGTACACTCCCTGGACGTCCTGCACACAACACTTGCTTGTGTTAATGTTTGTGAAAACAGCTGCAACGTCTGCTGTGTTTCATCTTTTTCATGCCTGAGAAAATATCTGTCTTTGTGAGACAACCCAGGTTAGTTATGTTTTGGAGTTGAATCCACAGGCGGCAGTATATCACCCTCTCTGCTGATTTCATGTTCAGGTTTTAGTGTTCTGGAAAAACCTCCTAACTTTTTAACAAAGTGCACGGCTCATTGGTTTTACATTGTGCAAGTATTTCTGCCACCAGTTACTTCTTGTCATGACGCACACTTATCATGGTTGTTCTAAATGCAACAGAGGACATTTTAGTGCGATGAATCATTTTAGCCTGTTGTGTGCTGGTTCCCTCTGAGAACACACGTGGACACGTCTGAGAGCAGTTTATTGTGCGGCTTTACTGGCAGAAGTTACAGGAATGTTGCATCTGTAGCCGCTTATTAAACACCAACATCAGTGCTTCCAACTTTGGGACCCAGGAATTTTGTTATGCTGTGCCGGTGCCAGCTTTTCAGCATCAGCGTCTGTGCCAGCTTGTAGGTGAAAAATTGGTAATAGCGTCCTTTTGGCCACAGCAGGTAAGCTCTGATAAACCTACTGCCCAACTAATCAACACTGTGGAGGGTTTAGCTGCTAGAAAATTGTTTTAGAACGATGGAAAATGAAGCCAGGGGGATAAAAACACCAATCCAAATGCTGCTTTGTGCCCACTGGATGTGGAAATATGCAACAGTTGGCTTATTTACACAAGTGACAAAACCTTTAATTAAAATGTCATTGATCTCTTTGACCTTTAAGGTTTGGATGAGCCGCCTCTTTCCAAAGGCAGAGTCCAGCCTTCTGAGCGTCTGCGTGCTGGTATGTGGGGGTTTGATGTTTAACTCACTGGAAAAAAAACATCCAAAAATTCTTGTTTTCCCATAATAAAAAGATAAAAACATGCAAAAACGTTTTAATTTGTAATCCAAATTACACATATACAAGGATTCAAGATATTAGCATGTCATTTTCAGAGACCACAGCCAAAAGAACAACAAGAGAAAAATACAATCTGTACATGTTTCAGTTTACAGTGAGTAGCCAGTTGAAGAGTACCAGAGAACACTAAGGCAAATCATCAGCAGACAGAAGAAAACATTGCCTTTTTAATCCACCACAGCAGAGTATCAAGAAGTATCTTTGCTACAAAACAAGGACTGATGACTTCCTTTATTAGCAATCAGCTGCATACGTTACATCGTGATAAAAGCAAAACAAAAAACAACAGAAGGTATCTATCTAAAGTCTAGCATTACTGTACATGTCTTCTCACCAGCTTTGGAAAATCAAACTTGCAAAAATATCCAGCTCCTCTGTGCAGCTCTGGGTCTGACCAACCTTTGTTTCAAACAACATCAAAGGAACGATGTTACTCGTACAGCTTCACCAAGATGGCACGTCGGTGCTGAGCGTGGTGCGCCCTGCACTCAATTTTACAGGTGCAGCAAACTGTTTACTTCAATTACCTGGTAATACTGGAAATCGGCTTCAAAAAGCATAAAACTGGACCTTTTATTAAAGTTTAGAAGTGAGACACTGATGTCCACGGCTACGCTTTTTTGGTTGTTCGTGTCGCTAACATGCAACTTCATCAAAGCCCTTTAAAAATGTTGAGTTTGGTGAATCCCTGGAGCAGCTTATGGTGGCTCAGCCTCACAGGCAAAAACTAGTCCTGATGAGTGAAATCAAAAAAGGGCCCGAGGACGTCGATCACCAATGACCACTGTCACAGGATGGAGCGTGTGCTGTCACACAAAGTCACTTTCATTGTCTAAAAAGCCTGAAAGCAACGTGGGTGAGTGACAGAGACACATTTAAATAAGCGGAGGGCGTCCTGTATGAAGTGTGCATGCTTCTGCAGTAAGAATTAAAAAGTATCCAGGTTAGGTTATTTGGTCATTAGTAAATTATTTGAATAAGAGACTGAGTGAGGCTGGTGACATGTCCAGGAGATCCCACCTCTACCCCTGTGACAGCTCCAGCTTTTCACTGATGGGCTGGGCTGCAAAGTAGCTTGCAGAAGCAAAGAGAATATGAGAAGGCTACAACAGCTTCAAGCACACATTTACCGATGAACCGAGCCATCAGCTGATGTAGGCTGGCACTGAGATCAGCTGAGCTGCCTGAACTTTGAAAAACAGATGCTGTAAAAGAGGCGCGTTCTTGCAGTGAACTGTGAAGTCCCATCAGCACCGAGTGTGGAGCAAAATCCATGCAGCTGATGCAAATTTGTGCCGTGTGGCGTGAACAGAAACTAATGTGTGTCTGAAAGTTTATGAACTTTGTAAAAAGGTGAAATTCGCTCACAGACAGCAGCAGGTTTACACTAGTGGGCAGGATTCACTCTGCTCTTAAACAGAGAGACGACAAACAGGAGAAGGCTGGAGGAAGCCGAGTGAAACCACAGGAGCTCCTGATAAGCTCTGATCATGTCCTCTTTCTTCTGTTGGTTCTTATGAAAAACAGAGTAATGGGAGGTGACACGTCACTGTTTCAGCTTCTGTGGGACACAAACGACCTGTTGACTTAGTTTTGGTCCTGAATGCTGAGCAGCTCCTAATGTGTTTGCTGTGTGTGTCTGTAGCTCTGCACAGACCTGCTAAAAGGGCAAAGGTTGGTTGGATAGTACATGAGACACACTACCACGTTGTTGTCGTCTTCATTACCACTAGGTTTCCTGTACCTTAAAATTTCCTTTTATACAACTATGCATATCCAGGCTGTCGAGGCTGAACATCAGTCAGCTGCTTTATATTCTGTCCACAACCTGTTCATCAAACATAAATGCTCACCTGTAAATAAAAGCTCCATCCAGAGTGCGTCTGCTCAGCCCAGACACAGCCCCACTGCTGCATCTCTGTCATATTCATTAAATATTTCATTACTCAATCCATTTCTTTTATGATGGGAATTTTAATTTTATCTGTCACTTCCTCCAACAGCGGCTCAGCAAACAAAAACGCTTGAAATGTTTATAGATTCCAGCTCCTTTGTTTGTGGCCTTGATGCTTTGTTGCCATTTTTCTTTCTTTTTCTTTTGCTTTCATCTGCACAAACACCCAAATGGAAATTATATTTTATCTTCTTGTTTTTCACTGCTTTGCTTCAGTGTTTTGTCATCCTGCAAACAAGCTAAACTGCATCCCATTCTGAATTCCCTTTTGTGAACGCACAGCAAGGACATAACCACAACAGTTTAACTGCACCACAAATAACATCGTGTGTTTGCACAAACCTCACAGATTCAGAAACAGTTGTTTAAACTCATTTTGGCCAACTAAATGTTCTCGAGCATGTAAGAGTGAAAGCCAGACGAGGCAACGTTCCTGTTCACTCAAAGACCAGGACGGATACTGAATGCGTGCGAAGAAGCTCTGAGAAAATGAAAACTTCTGAGCTTGTCCAGGTTTGTTGATGCAGACAGTCACATTAATACTAGAGCACTGTGAAAATGAGCAACCACTGCCACCAAGCAACACACGCAGCTGCAACTGCAACTACAATGTGTTGCATCAGATCCAAGTCTAGACGTTTGATGCTGTAGGCCGAGTGAAACCCAGAGCTGCACACTGAAGCCATGTTTTTGCTGGTAGGATCATCCAAGGCATCTCATAGTAGGCTTTGCCCTTTAGAGTATCCATCCAGTGTGTCTCTGTGGAAACGGTTTACACTTGCTCGCACACACACACACACACACACTCATTAACATGGCGCAGTGCTCCTCCAGTTGCTGCTGCAAAACACCAGGAAATTTAAAGCAACAAAAAGAATCAAGACTGAACACAATCAAAAGAATGTACAAAAGGCACATTTGACCCCAGTGCTGCTGTACTGTAAGATTCAAGTGTAAATGAGCGTCTGTAGCATGGCTGTCGAAGCTCTCGACCATCACAAAGACAACATCCTCTCTGAGAGCATTGTTCTGGCTGCGTGCGTTTGTTAGCACCGAGGCTAATGCTCAGATCATGTCAGCTAGCCTGAATGCTAGCCAGTGCCAGGCCTTGCTAGGCCAGGAGTCAGCATGGCCCCTAGTGCCATCAAACTGTCCTTAAGAGGCAGCGAGTCTCTTTACAAGCTGTCCCGCAGAAATACAGAAGTGCAGATCCAAACCCCGTGTTTACCCAATTTCATCTTTCTTTACCCCACCCGCCACCTGAGCTCCGAAGCAAGGGTGGGGGGCAGAGTGGCCGTTGTTAGTAGGGAATGCTAATCATCCCCTCCGCCGTACAGGTCGGCCAGCTTGCGGAAGCGCGGCCCCCAGTCGCCCAGGTAGTCGTAATCCTGGTCTCCGCAGCTCGAGGAGGAGTGCAGGGAGCTGAGGGAGCCGGCGGTGGAGCCGCTGCCTTCATAGTCAAACACCAGCAGGGAGTCGTAGGGAGGAGCGGTGGGGTCGTTGTCTGCTGCCTTCAGACCCTGCAAAACAAAGAGGGGGAGCAGGAAGGTGAGGGAACAATACTGGAAATAAGAGTGATAGCGATTCAAAGAGTTGGGTGTTCGTCTTGTAACCAGAAGGTTGCCGGTTCGAGCCCCGGCTCGGACAGTCTCGGTCCTTGTGTCCTTGGGCGAGACACTTCACCTGCCGCCTACTGGTGATGACCAGAGGGGCCGATGGCGCGATATGGCAGCCTCGCTTCTGTCAGTCTGGCTACACCTGTAGCTGCCTCCACCAGTGTGTGAATGTGAGAGTGAATGAATAGTGGAATTGTAAAGCGCTTTATAAAATGCAATCCATTATTATTATTATAATGCGAGCTTTCTCCAAGATGTTTCCTACACTGAGCCCTCGGTCATCGCCTGCTGGACGTGGAATGTCTAAAGCAGTCCCATGACACACTGTAGTCTATGAGGCCGACCTTTGTACTCGGTCAGAGTGCTTATTTCATACCTCATCCATGTTCTTCCCTAGCAACAGCTTAGTCCTAACCAAAAGGAGCATTTCCAGTCTGAAGTGGACCGTTTCATGCTGGGTGCTGATTCCACTCACACTGTCTGGGGTTCATGCCTGCAAATGACTTTAGGCCAGTCGTTCTCAAACTTGCCTGAGCCTGAGGATCGTAGCACCACCATGTGCTTCATCAGACCTTTTGGAGACCACCCAAAGTTTGGTCTTTTATCCCCCCTGTAGACAAGAACCTGCAGCACATCACGGGTTCTAATACTGACACTCTGTTGTGCGTTACTGTTAGTAAATGAGTGGGTCAGTAAAGGTTTCATTTCCTTTATCAGTGGTTGCTGCAGCAGGGAGTGATAACACCTCCCACACACAGACTGTTTTCTGTGGGTTAAGAACATCCTGACACAGGTTAATCTGGGAACTTCCACACTCATCACTTCTAAACCACTGAAGACTGTATGGAAAATCTCTGCTAAGTAAACTTTCAGCTGATCAGGAAGAGATACGTCTGTATTTGTACCAGAGGTTTTCCACCCGTAACAACTCCAGAGAATCTCAGTGACTGAGAAAAGCACAATTTATAGTAGAGCAGCTACAAGTCTGACAGTATTAAGTAGAGGATTATAGTAATCCTACATTTCTATAGTAACTGTACAGTAAGTGTGAGGGTATTATAGAAACCTATGTTCATGCTTGAACACAGGCGCTAAAAGTTATAAGACCAAGTTAAAACCGCAAAAAAGCCCAGCTGATGATCTCTGTGGATCCACCGAGGCCATCGTCAGGGAGCAAAGCTCGCTTTCCCAACCAACTGGGATTTGAAATGTCAGTGTTCACTCCCACCACTACTTCAGTCCCAGGAGAAGAAGAACGAGGGCGGCACTTTGGATCAGAGTAAGGTAGAGGAGGGTTGGAGGGCGAGGCAGGTCCTTGTATTCTGGATGAAGTGGGGACAAACTGTTCATGCAGCTGTGGTGGAGAGACTGTGGAGGAGCTTCTTCCCGCAGGCGATATCACACCACCACACAGTACTGACCCACACATATGGTTCCCACACACACTGGACATTCTGGACATTGTTTTCACTTCATCACTTTAATCACTTTAAGCATATTTACACTGCACAAGACACTAAATAATAAATAACACTGGTCACTATATTCTTCATTTCCAGTTAATACTGGTACAGCTGCTGTTATTGTGTATATAATATTTATATTTCTTCATACATCCTTATATAGTTCTATACTGTGTATTTTGTTGTACAGTTATTTTATTTTTTAACTTTAATTTATATATTTTATTTTATTCCTTCCTAGTTAAATTTACCCTTTTTAATTTTCATATTTATTTCCTATCTTATTCATAGCCTTTTTTTCTTTAGGTCACGAGCAGTTGTGTAAGCATTCCACTGCATATCGTACTGTGTGTGACTGTGTGTGACTGTGTGTGACTGTGTGTGACTGTGTGTGACAAATACAATTTGAATTTGGTGTGGGGACCATGGCTATGCAACTCCTCATAATTAGGGTTGGGGTTATGTGTGTGTGTGTGTGCGCGCGCTGTGTGTGTGTGTGTGTGTGATGGTTGAGATGTGCGTGTGTGTGCGTTGTGTGTGTGGTGTGTGTGTTGTGTGTGTGTGTGGTGCTTGTTGTTGTGTGTGTCAGTGTGGTGTGTGTGTGTGTGTGTGTGAATGGGTTGAGATGGACAGTATGGAGAAAAGAGGGATTATGGAGTGTAGGAGAGAGGAGGATTTGGGTCATGCTGGACAGATGCTGCCTCTGTCTCTACGAGGAGATTGAACAGATTACTCAGGGTGGCCTGAACTTAAAACCACCAAACCCCTCCTACATACAGGAAACATACGTGTTTCACAAACATGCACTATTTTTATGAACAAAAAAAGTCTGTTCAAATGTGTTGCAGCAGGAGTCCTTTTCTTCTGCATCTCGCTGTCACTCAGGACGCTTAAACTGAAAGAAGCAAATCTGATAAGCTGTGAAAATGTTTTGTGGGCCCCGCCTGTCATCTGACTGAAGACACTCCTGTCACTCTGAACTCAAAGGAAGGAGAGAATTAACGCGGAGAGGGAGGGGCGGGATCAGCTTGCATCAGCTTGTCATGTCTGTAGGATTAAGCTGTCTAGATCAGCTTGCCATGTCTGACAGCTCCTGATCATTATTCATAGCTGTGCTTGGCAGATGTCTTTATGCAGCCCAACCACAGACACACACACACACACACACACATGCAGATAATATGGATGCAACTACTGCAGAGACAGCAACATGCATCAGCTGCATCAGTACAGATAACTTTGTGCTTGAGATTATGATGTCAGCTCTGTTGAAGAAAAAGTCTCTCTGAGATGCTTCGATGGGTTAAGGCGACTCTGTTATTTCTCTAAGCGAGTGTGCTTCTGTGAGGAAGCGTTACACGTGTGGCAAACACACAGTGACGTCACAGTGGGTCATTACTCATTCACAGTCGAGTCAGTGCTGCACAGTTTGTACATGAACTCTAACGAGAACCTTGTATTCACATGAACTGAATGCAATGATTGGTACATGTGAGCCTGTGCTGTGTGTGTGCACATCTGATTGTTCTAGAAGCTCTTCATTATTAATTGTTTAAACTTAAATTACAAGTTTGGGTTGTGATGAGTCGAGGCCAGCAGTAGTTACACTACGGACGGTTTAATGTCTGACAATATTTTCACGGACCGGCCTTTAAGGTGTGGTGGATAAATACAACAAAATGAAACGATACAGACAAAGACAAAAACTGTGGTCTTTTGTAACAATAAACGTGAATTCACTGTGTAATTGTGTAACTTTATTAGCAGCGTCCTCCTGAAACGCGCCAACAACACTGAGAGTAACATCCTCCTCTCTGCCCCTCAATGCTCTCTGGTCACTATGGCAAATAGTTCTTTCAAAATAAGACACAACTACAACACGGGAAACAACCCAGGGAAACAGAGTTAACGATAAAAACCCCTGAAAACCATGAACGTCACATCCGAGCCTCAGCTCTCGTGGCCCGGTACCAAACGACTCACGGACCGGTCCACGGCCCGGGGGTTGGGGACCGCTGCTATAGAGCATCAGAATCCCAAACAGTGAAGCAAACCGCTCTTCAAACAGATCAAATATGAACCTGATGATAATAAATGGCCTGTATTTGTCTTTACTCAGTCCCTGTGGACCCCAAAGCGCTGTGCACTACCACACAGTCACACACTGGTGATGGCAGCTACACTGCAGCCACAGCTGCCCCGGGGCGCACTCACAGAGGCGGTGATTATAAGAAGTTTCATTTGACATAAGAAAGGCCGCTGCATCCTCATGCAACACTGTGACCATTAATATAAATATGATGAGTTCTTCTACAGCACTGTGCAAAAATCTTGAGCCCCCATCGTTTTCCAGATTTTGCTAGAAACATGAGAAATAGGTGCAGTAATTTACTGAAACATGTATGGACAGTACTTAGGGCAACAATTTGTAACAAGCTTGACAGTCAATATCTGGTACGACCACTTTGATCCTTCAGCACAGCCTGGACTTTTCTGATAATTAGATTAACCGGTCTTCAGGAATAATTCTGCTTCTCTAAGGATCGATTTTGGATGTTGGCTGCAGTTTTTTCCACTTTGTGCCGAGATGACCCCACGCTGCTTCGATAATGCTGAAGTCCGGGCTCTGGCGAGGCTAATCCGTGCCTGAAAGTGTTTCATTGTTCTTTCATCCAGGTTTGTTTCTGTTGGTCGTGTGTTTGGGATGAATGACATGCTGAATAACAAGGCTGTTCCAAATTAGACGCCTTCCAGGTGTTGTTACCTGCTGGATCACAATCTGACTGGACTTTTCTGCATTCATGATCATTTTTAACAAGAATGCCAACATCACTGCTAAAATGCAGCTCCTGACCGTAACAGCTGCACTTTTACAAACACTGTACCCTTTCCGAACTCCTCCATGCAGGTTGTTGATAACTTGATATATGAGACCTGTTTTCAGCCAAGTTCTTGTATAATTTGGCTAGTCTCATCCTTTTCTCCTCTCTCCTGGAGATCCAGCTTTACACTGAGACCATTTCTGCTGAGGCTGTGCAAACAGTAAATGGATAAACTGAAGCACCAGATGTATCTCTTCCACTGCATGTCAACTTTTTTGTGTATTTTTTCCTGTTTCCTAAAGACAATGCTTTCACTCTTTATCTGCTGTAGACATGCCACTTCTCTTGTCCTGACAAAATATGACAAGCAAAGCTTTTCAGGAATCACCTCGTTGGTTCAAAAACACTTTTTCTGTTATCTTTACCATTTTTTTAGATTCAACTAAAGAAATGGGCGAAAAATATTTGTTCTTGCAACAGGCTTCGAGTAATAAAGTGCATAAAGATGCAATTTAATATCAGTTCTTTACTAAACCCTGTTAAATGTTATATAAACACTGGTTTATCTCTTGAATTAGGTGCATCTTTAATACCTGATTCATACGTCAGTGTTAAGCAAAAAAAAGAAGAAGAAAATCCTGTGAATGTCCAAAGAAACAGCGTCCTACAAAAAGCCAAGAAAGTCTAACTCACTGGAAGCAAAATATAAAGAAATGAGAAATAGCTGAAAACATTTGCCCAGTAAAACAATCAAAGTTGGATTTCCCTAAACCCTCAATCAGCCCTTTAAGGACCCTCAGCTGGTCTGTGGGATTAACCAAACGTTGTGGATTTACCTCCAGTTTGGTAGCCAGGCTGTGACCACATGTCAAGCCAGCAAATCCGAACCATTAGCAGAGCTAATTAAGAATTAGCCATCACATCTCTGTGTTTTTCTAAATGTCACCTGCTCCACGAAGTGCTTCCTTCTCTCTCTTCGTGACGCTCACAACTATCATTTCCAACAGTTTGATCAAAGATGCTTAAAAAGTGTGAATCTGACATTTATTTGAGGGAAATGTTGTAAACAGCAGAGCCTAGAATGAAATACAATCTAAATGTGAATCATTTTAGTGATGATTAATGTGAGCTTGCCTTTTTAAATATGCTCAGCTTTCAGTTTTAAATAGCCGCAGTCAGAACTGTTGAAACGGGCCCGTTCTCACACTGGCAGCTCAGAATACCTCCACAGAGCTTTAAACAAACTGTTTGAACTTGAATATTTTAAATCCTTTAAGGTGATGAGGTAAACTGCACACATCCTGGACGCTCTTTGATGCTCGACACCAAAGGAGGAAAAAAGATGAGGGAAGCAAAAGTAACTAATGTTGGCAAATCCAGCTTTTTATGGACACAGTGTTCACTTAGTGCTGTCAGACAGACACTCTGTATTTCACTGAAGCTGCGATTCATCACTTCCTGTGTGCTTAGAAGTGCATGTGTACAACACTGGAATTTAATCTGGGAACAGTCTGAAGTGTGTGCGGCTGGAAGTCGACCGAAGCACACGCACAGGTTCGGACTGACATTTTACACAAAGATGTTGTCATCCAGGTCTGTATCCTCTCAAAGATGCTGCTTATTGCCGTACCTCGTGGATAAAGTCGCCTATGTCTCCTGGGTGGGGGGCTGCGGAGCGGAGCGGGTACTGGTGGTCATGGTGGAGGGGCCTCTCATCCAGACGTCTGATCCCCACTTTGACGCACTCTGGCTCCAGGGCATCAGGCTGCTGCAGCTGGCTAAGGTCATAGTCCTGCACACCCACACAAACACACAAATGTTGGCATTACAGTGAGTCACACAGCCCTGCATCACAATCCTGCCTCAAAGGGCTCTACAACCTGTGCAGCACTCAGAGTTCTCAGGACAGTCCATTGATGATTAATGCAGCATCCCATTGCTTCATAAGGATAAATAGTATGTGTTATATTATGTATTAAACTGCTGTTTCCTGTTGCTGTTGTGTGTAAAGTTTACATAAATGTCAGAGTAATGTTGGACTTTACAGCACATACCTCAGACCAGAAGCATCGGCAGGTTAAAGCAGCTCAAACAGACCCAGTGTGAAAAGTGCCTGAAGCAGGTTATCAGCTGCCGTTGGCACTGAGACCAGCCAGTTTCTGTACATCTGAAACTATTTATGCTCAATTATACCAAGTTGCTATAACCGTTCAGCTGCTCACTTTGTGTTTTATCTACTCTCCTGTTAAAATAGCAGAGCTGTAAGCCCAGCAGTGAAGTGGGTGGCTGTGCTATTGATTTGCTGTGTGGCAGCACAGACAGAGGTGCGCAGGGATGCTCTGCTCTGAACAGAGAAAAACATCTTTAGATTTCTACTTTGCTGTTGCTTATTCAGAGTGAAAAATGAGTATTGACCACAATTAACTGTCAACAACTGCAGTATTTAAGGTGAGATAATGTAGCCATATTACTCATGTCTGCCTCCAGTAATGGGATTACACTGCTGTTTTATCCAGGAGCAACATCTCAGGGTATCATTTTGTGTTGTTGTGAATTAAGAGCACTCTCTTATATACTCTACTGTTATGTGAGGCTGTAGAGTCGTTACATGAAAGTCACTCTCTACACTCTGCACAATGCTGCAACAGCTGTGGCCCACTAACCTGCTGCATGCAGCCAAATCTACCTGAATGTAGTGAAGACTCAGAAACGCTGCATTTCATGTACGGCTTAAAATGTCTCGTTACTATGCACGGAGACACGGCGACCTCCAGAGTGTCCTGAAATATGAATTCAACTTCAAACACTTCCACCTTAAAAGAGACAGAATATTTAAGCTGCCATAAATTCACACTTCAAGCTAAACGAGAAAAAATTAGTTCCTGGCCAACAATCCTCGCCATCATTGAATAATAATATATTCTCACTAATCGTAGCCTAATGCCAGGTACTCTGCAAGCCTGTGGCAGTGGAAATACCAAAAGGATTCTAAAATTCATAACGAACTTGACAGATTCATGAAAGCAGCAGTCTCACACTCAGCTAATGGACTTATCTGTTTTAGCTGTATTTAACAGTTTCAGTGAATTTCACCCAGTCAAATGAGCACAGTTGGCTCTCGTGATGCAATGTCTACCATTTCTCCCACATCATCCTCGGGGAAAAATGAGAACGACCCTAAAGCAAACTAATTAGCATCCACTTAGAGAGTCGCAGCTCGTCTTTCACCTTCTCTCCTACAGCGTGGACACAATCAGAGGAGCGTCACAGCCTGATCTGCTCATGGTGAATGGTTGTGTCTGAGTCACCGCAGAAACCTCCCAGAAAACAATTCATGCTTTCTGGTTTCCAGGGAAAATCGACTAAAGGCTGTGGACTGACCTTGGGCTTTATTCACAATAACGACCAATCAGAAGAACACTGTGACTGAGAGCCCAGCGTTAACCTGCCAGGCAGCAACAAAACGATCTTTGCTTCTTTTCTTTCTATACTTGCCATGACCTGATTGAATGAATGTTTCATTTGAGGACTGTTTTTACAACTATGCCAGCACATTTCTGTTGAAAAGATGTAGAATTCTTTCTACACGACACGAATGACTTACAAATTGGAGACGTGACAGCTTTGTCCCTGTTCTGACGTTTAGAGGTTTAATAATAAGTGTCAGCATTTCTAAATTCAAGGACGGTTCAACTGAACGCAAAACTCATTAACCTCCGAGCATCTGCCAGGCTGACGCTGTCAAGTCCAAACCAAAGCACGACACTCGAGGACTAACTAGTAGGAAAAACAATAAAAATGTCAACTCAGTTCAATTAAAATGTATCACAAAATTGCAACAACAGTCGCCTGAAGGCGCTGAATATTATTAGGTATTGTCCCAAATCCTGGACCAACAAACCTGTGAGGAGAAACCCCCACACAGCGCATTATGGCTGTAATCAACCCGCGTAGCAACGCTGCTACTTTGTGTCTTTACAGACTGGTCGCAGCAGATGGCCCCGCCCCTCCCTGAGCCTGGCTCTGCTGGAGGTTTCTTCCTGTTAAAGGGGAGTTTTTCCTTCCCGCTGTCACCAAAGTGCTGCTCATAGGGGGTCACATGACTGTTGGGTTTTTCTCTGGATGTATTACTGTAGGGTCGACCTTACAAAGCACCTTTAGGCGATTGTTGTTGTGATTTGGCGCTGTGTAAATAAAACTGAATTGATGGACCATTTTTTATAAACTGAGTGGAGTTGTTGTCCCAGGTTTAGTCATTTGTTATGAGTGACTATATGTTTGTCTATATATCTGTTTGCATCATTACGGAACCACAATTAAAGAACAAACACAGTTTGAGATTTTCAAGTTAAGCTGAATTTTTGAGACACCTCAGAAACACAAATGTTGGACTTGAGCCTGGTTTTTGCGCACTGCTGCTAACATCCAGTCGTAACAGGTTAAAACTTCCACAAATGTTAATAATTCCTTCATGACTCTTTTATGGTGCAGTATTGTGGTTCTTTCATGCTCTGGTCTTTTGTTCTAATGATGTTTTCTTGCACAAAAACAAACGCTCAGTGTTATTCTGAGTCATTGTTCTTCCCAAACACTAAATCTCAGGCTTCTCGCACTTTCCAAATCCCACATTCACCTGTGATTGTGACGGACATTTATCCACACAGATCGCTGTTATCAGATTATGTCGAGAGAGTGTGAGCACCTGTGTATTTCACTTTGTTTCATGTCAACGCCTTTACGTAGCGTTTAAAGATAGCGTATTATTAGTTTAGTCAAAGAACACGGTGATCTGCAGTAATTTACAGTTGCTGGTTTGGCTCTGTCTTTGCTGCATAGATGGACCGCAGCATAGGACAGTGATGAGGCCAGATGTTGGAGCTGGGAGGAAGCGGTTTGCAAAGCAGCTTGCAGTTATAGGCAGTTATAGATGACACTGTACGATCTGTCAGTTGAATGTGTAAAAGGTTATCATCAGCTGATGCTGAACTGGCACTAAGATAAGATCATCTGCTGGAGGCTGAACAACCTTGTAGCCTGTATGAACTCATGCGAAGCTCAGTTTTTGGCTAATGGTGCATAAGCAGAAGCCGGCTGAAGGTCTAATGGCCTGCATTTGTTTGCTTTACTCAGTCCCTAAGGACCCCAAAGCGCTTCACACTACATCCAGTCATCCACCCATTCACACACTGGTGATGGCAGCTACATTGTAGCCACAGCCGCCCTGGGGCGCACTGACAGAGGCGAGGCTGCCGGACACTGGCGCCACCGGGCCCTCTGACCACCACCAGTAGGCAAACATGGTTAGTATCTTGCCCAAGGATATTTGCAGCCTGGGATCGAACCACTGACCTTTTGATTAGTGGCTGACCTGCTCTGCACCTGAGCTACAGCAGGTGGCAGACTGTGTGTATATGTACAGTATGTCTCTGTGTTTCTTGGTGTTGGCATGCTTAAGCACACAAGTGTGTTCCCGAGAACTCAGTCTGCTTTTTATCTGAAGCTTAAATCCAGACAAATAAAGAGCTGAGCTGCCTGTAGAAAAGAAATGAAAATCCTTATCAAACAGTGCAGATCCCCGACACCATCCAAGGCCTGTGCAGTGTGCTACTGTGGCAATGATAAAGGAAGAGGCAAACCTTGATTTTCTTTTATTAACTTTGTGTCCATTGTTTAGCCTGGAGAGAGATTACACCAGCGCTTCTGTTTATTGAACCGCAGGGAATAAAGTACGAACTGAACCAAAGTCAACCAACACGCCACTCAGCTTTCATTTTCTCTGTTTTATTCAAGGCTCTGTTGAGTGTGTTCCCCTTAATAATGTACTTTGTTATGATGTTTGGAAAAACTTCATCACTTACAATATTGATAGGATTCGTCAAGCTTATCAAGGCCCAGTTTTCAAATTCAGAGAAATATTTAAAATGAATATCTTTTGATGGAAATGTCCATTTTTATTTTAGAGGAGCTGGAACAAAGCCTCGGGGCTTTCATGACCCTTTGTGTTCAAACTGGGTTATAAGTTGCTGAGTTAGACTCAAATGTAATAACTGAGGAGGAAACGCCTTTTCCAAAGTTCTGTCTAAATGTGAGCACAGCTACAGCAGAAGGAGGAAGAAGACGAATGAGTCAGAAACAATATTAAGTCCAAACTAATGTGAGCTCAATGAACATAACAACAATAACACAGATGTTGACCCTAATACACTTCAGTACTAAGCCAGGGGCCGACGCTTTCATCCCTTAGAATTTATTTGCCCTCAGTCAGCCACGGTATTTAATCGAAGTGCATTTTATTTGTGTTCGCTCTAAATTGGAAGATTATTGTGATCGTGAAATATTAAAATAAAATTATATGTAATTTTGGTCACTCATAATAAGCATCACACTCCACATCAGCAGGCCACTCCTGCTCACAATCACAAATGGAGTGAGGAGAAGGAGTGGAGAAAGACCGGAATAACTCTTGGAGTCGTGTCGATCGTTGCATCCACACATGTATGTGAGCAGCTGTTCTCCACCATGTTAAAAACAAACGCCGCTCACAGACGAGCTCGCGGTCCTGCTAAAGATGGTTCAGGAGCAGACGGCCCATTAACCAGGTAAAATAAATATTTCTGCAGATATCTTGTAAATATTTTTTCTTCGTTGTTTAGTGACACAGCGCTTTTTTCTAATTTATTTTTTAAATTCAGGTCAAGGCTCGGCGACACGCTCTGAGAGCCCAACGCCGATGCAAGGATGAGGCTCACAGTTTTTGTTACGTGCATCATTGAAGTTCAGCTTTTTAATTCATTTGACAGAGACCTTCAACTCAGAGTGTTTCTTTTTGTTATTATTTTTTAAGAGTCCAAAATGTTCAAAATGTGTTCATCACATAAATAGAATTGAGTTTCTCTGTAGACCTTCATGGATTTCATAAGCAACACACTACAGTTTCTTATACAAAGCATAAGGTAAAAACCATCTATGTACATCAGTGTTATCTTCATTTTAGATGTCAGAAAGTATGTGCAGTGTTTTGGGTCCAAATGTGTCTGTGGGTGTTAAAGGCGGCTGTTCTAAACACTTCTTCACGTTCATGTTGTGCTTGTAGCAGCGTGTGACTCCTCTCAAACGGTTCTGGTGCCAGTTTGTCATCGTGCTCACCAGCATCACTCATAATAATGAGACTGTCCCATATTTGGGATCTGACTTATTCCAGAGAATTCTGCTGTGAGACTAAAGAACAGACGTGATGATGAGAACCATCATCAGGTAAAACGAGAGCTCTGCAGTCCCGCTGTTTGAATCACAGCAGCATGCTAGCATGCTCAAACCATTGAGTCAAAGTACAGCGAGTACAATCATCTTTACCGTCTTACTATTAAATGTCATCTTTACAAATACGGATATACAGAGCGCACAACCAAACACAAACTTCCTTCTAAATTCAGGAATTTCATGTGAAGAAAGTGGTGACCTCGCGGTACTTAAAGAAATCAGGAACCAGCATCACTGCGACACACCACGCTACACGCTTACAGCCTTAGTGCTGCTGTTGGGCTGACGGCTATCGGGGGCTATCGGGGGCTAAACACTTTAAGGCTGTGACAGCTGGTGATGACAGCGGCCTTCACTTTTTGATGAAGGGGCAAATTTCTTGATTGTGCTCTGTTCAGCGGGGCGCAGCTGTGAAACCAAACTCTCAGGCTTAGTAAAAGTTTGATGTATGAATCGCTGAATTGGTTGCACCCTAAATCCAAAAGGCAATTTCACTCATTTTACTTCATTTTGAATTTTCTTTCCTCTTTGAAATAGTTTTTTGTCCCATATTCATCTTTATACCCTCTCACACACAAACAGCCTGATATGGTCCTTCCAGAATGAATCGCCGTGTGACCAGCATCATCTTCCCTCCCTTTCTGCTGTTTCAGGTCATCTTACAAAGGACACATTTATTTATCTTTTTGTTGAATCTGCTGTTGTATTTGTGTACTTGTAGTGTCATGTTGTAACATGTTTCTATTTGTGTTTTAGGTCACCTTCAAAATAAGATGCTTTTTTCAGGAGGCTACCTCGTCAGTGATGAAGCCTCGCGATGTTAGCTTACTTTATGACTCTGCTGATTAGACTGGTGTAATATTTCTAAGCCAAATTCTACATTTATTATTAGAGAAGCATAAATATGATCACAAAAATGAAAAAACAAGCCATTGTTAGTCTTCCACAGGCTAATAATCGACTGACTCTGCTGTTTATTTCTGATACTTGAAGGAAACTAAAGCATAGCATCGATATTACTTCGAGCTACGCTTTCTGCGAGTACCAGTGCTTCTGTATTACCGCTGACATCGTCTTGCTTCCATTTTGACTGACTGCAGTTAGTTTGAAGACGCCCAGCAGGCAGGAGGAGAGGCGCTAAACAAAAGGACTTACAGATGAGAAAATGGTGCAGCCTGAGAACCACAGCCTGCGCTCTCCTGCATGCTTTTTCACATTTTTAAACACACTTCCTACATCGTTCACAGTTTAACGTTTGTTGTTTCGCAGAGAGCCACTTCTATAGAAAGTAAAACAGGCCTGAGTGTGGTCGGCTGGGTAAACGGGGGTTAAACATTTCCGCAGTAGAAGTGCGGAGCGGCTTATGTGCTTGGCACCAGCAGAAAAGTTGTGTGGAGACACAGGAAATTGTTCTCCAACAGAAAGCAATTAATCCTGTTTCGAGGTCCTCTTTGTAGTACACTTAATCTTAGCTGGAGGACAGATGATTGAAAACTGCAGAGAGGCAGAGTGTGTGTGTGTGTTTTATGTCTTCTATCTGAAGACGTGTGTGTGTGTGTGTGTGTGTGTGTGTGTGTGTGTGTGTGTGT